CCCTCACAGATTACGTAGGAATCGGGATCTCGCTGCCCTTCGTGGCACCGTTGCAGCCCTTCGTGGCCCCCTCGCTTTGTTCCGTGGCCCTGTTGCAGCCCTTCGTGGCCCCATCGCTGCCGTTCGTGTTCGTGGCCCCGTTGCAGCCCCTCATGGCATCCTTGCTTTGTTTCGTGACCCCGCTGTCGCCCTTCGTGGCCCCCTCGCTGCCCCTCGTGGCCCCGTTGCTGCCCTCAGTAGCCCCCTCGCTGCCCTTCGTGGCCGCATATCTGTATGCCCTTCGTGGCCCCCGCTCGTTCGCGCCCGGGGTGGCCCCATATGCATGCCCTTCTTGACCCCGCTGTCGCCCTTCGTGGCCCCCTCGCTGCCCTTCGTGGCCCCGTTGCTGCCCTCAGTGGCCCCGTCCTTGCCCTCCGCGGCCCAGTATACGTATGCTTTTCGTGGTCCCCGCTCCTTCGCGCCCTCTGTGGCCCCATGTGCATGCTTTTCGTGGCCCCGCTGTCGCCGTTCGTGGCCCCCTCCGCTGCCCTTCGTGGCCCCGTTGCTGCCCTCAGTGGCCCCGTCCTTGCCCTCCGCGGCCCAGTATACGTATGCCCTTCGTGGCCCCCGCTCCTTCGCGCCCTCTGGGCCCCATGTGCATGCCTTTCGGGGCCTCGCTGTCGCCGTTCGTGGCCCCCTCACTGTCCTACGTGGCCCAGTTGCTACCCTCAGTGGCCCCATCGTTGCCTTCTGTGGCCCCGCATTATCTGCCCTTCGTGGCCCCCGCTCGTTCGCGCTCTTCGTGGCCCCATACGCATTCCCTTCGTGCCCCCGCTGTCGCCCTTCGTGGCCTACTTCGTGTCCTTGTGTCCCTGCTGTCGTTCTCTCTCGCTCTCGCTTTCGTTCGTCGTCGTCGCCGCCGTCGTCGTCGTTGCCGTCGTCGTCGACGTCGTCGTCGAAGTCGTCGTCGTCGTCGTCGTCGTCGTCGTCGTCGGTCCCCTGTCCGTCCCTCTTGGGGTCGGGTCGACGATCTGCGGCCGCCCCGCCGATCAGCGCTGCCGCTGGCCAAGCCGACGGTCCGCGGCCGCCCCGCCGCTTGCCGGGGCCCGGCCTGCAGGGAAGAAATGTATACCCCCCAAAAGGGGTTCGATCGAAGACGAAGAGGGCGGGTATCGAGGGTTTGAGAAGTACGCGTTAGTGGACACTGGAGCAGATAAAGGGCGAACAGTCTTAAACTGAATGTTGTTGTTGTTGTTGATGTTGATGTTGATGTTGTTGTTGCTGCTGCTGTTGTTGTTGTTGTTGTTGTTGTAGTAGTAGTTCGTGTCGTCGTCGTTGTGCGGGCGATAGGACAGGGCCAGTGCGCACACGTACAGACTGTACAAAGAACATGCTCCATTGAATGCTGAATGCTGAACTGTTGTTGGCAACCCTGGATCCAAAAATGTTGGCGTACCGCTCGTGCGTCCACCGACCTGCCATGGCTTCGGCTGGCGGACAGCCTCGCAAGGAAGATATGCACCGACGGCCTAAGCGCTGCCCAGAACGGCCCACCAGGTAGGTAGCGCTCCAAGGAGACCAAAGGTCAACGATATGACGACCTGTTGAAACTTGAAAAGGTGGGTCCTTCCTCAGCGCACAACCAGGAGGGCGCCAGCGTTGGTGCCTGTCGGCTTCCATCGACGCACGACCGGTCACTCCCGATGTGATTCAATCGGCGCTGGGCATCGCCAGTAAGGAGGAGGAGGAGGAGGAGGAGGAGGAGGAGGAGGAGGAGGAGGAGTAGGAGGAGGAGGTTAGGAGGAGAGGAGGGGATGAGGAGGAGAGGATGGAGGAGGTAGGAGGAGGAGGAGGAGGAGGAGCGTGTAAGGAGGAGGAGGAGAGGAGGAGGAGGAGGATGAGGGGAGGAGGAGGAGGAGGAGGAGGGGGGGAGGAGGAGGAGGAGGAGGAATAGGAGAGGATTAAGGGGGATGATGAGGAGTGGTGGAGTGTAGGATCAGTTAGTTCTTCGGACGGCTTGCGTCTCATTCCTGCTGCGTGGTCTTCTGTAGGATGATGGTCCAGGTCCCGGAGGGCTGGTGCAGGGTGAGGGCGAGAAAGATGGGGCCCGAGAGGGACAGCGAGGGAGGGGGGAGGCAGGAAGCGGCTTGGTGACATCGGGGCGCATCCGCCGGGAGGCCTGGGCAAGAAAACCCGGCCACATTCGGCCGCCGGGCCCGGCCTGTTCCGCGGGCCCGACCGCCGTGGCCAAGACTTCGGGGGGGGGGGGGCAGCCGTGGCCACTCGGGGGCGCACGACGAAAACCCTCTCCGGCAGCCCACCTTGCTGCCAGCGGAGCGGCGTGGAGGCACGAGTCGCTGGGCAGCAGCCGCCGGGGCGCGGCGGAGCCATCTGCGCAGCGACGTGCGCGTGGAGGAGCACAGAGGGGCCCAGGGACACACAAACGAATGATCACAAGTCCCAGGATTTCCGATATTTTCAAATATTTTCTAGGTGGTCGTCTCCCACGGACCACTTCCCATATGTTCCCATATTTTCCTGGGAGTCGACGATTGTGTCTGTGTGTTTTCCTCCCTCCTGACAGCCTACAGCAGGCTCGAGACATGGGGCGGGCGTTGGAGGGAGGAGGAGGCGGAGGAGGAAGAGGAGGAGGAGGAGAAGGAGTAAGAGAAGGAGGAGGAGGAGGAGGCGGAGGAGGAAGAGGAGGAGGAGGAAGAGGAGGAGGATAAAGGAGAAGAAGGAGGAGGTAGGATGCGGAGGGGGGGGGGGAGGAGGGGCGAAGGGAGGATGCTGAGGATGAAGAGGAGGAGGTGAGGAGATGAAGGAGGAAGGAGGGGGATAGGAGGATGAGGACGGAGGAGGGAGGAAAGGAGGAGGGGGAGGGGTAGGAGGAGGATGCAAGTTATGCGGCTGCTGTGTCGTAGGTATTGGCGTGCAATGTTTATAGATATAAGGCTTATGTGCATTGATGCGTACTATTACACGGGTGGCGCCGGCGGCGTCAGGCTCCTGGGCCGACATCCCGCAGGCGCGGGGCCGCAAGAGTGGGGGTTGCACGCCCTCTGAGGAAGCCCACAGGTCAGGGGCGTTCAAACGGGGTGGCGTCAAAGAGGGGGGTCGGGAACCGAAGAGTGAGATAAACATGAAAACTCGGAGGTCCGCGCGGAATTCTCGGATCCGAGCTGGGACCCCCTCGCGGCGCCTCCGGCGCCGCCCCTGGCGCGCTCCGCGCGCCAGGGAGGGGGGTCCAGCGCGGATCCAAGAAATCCGCGCGGACTTCCGAGTTTTTGAGGCTGAGCTGTTCTGGGAGTCCCCTCGGCCGCACAGGCCGTATCAAAGCTGCATCTCGGACGCAAAGGAATCGTTTATGCCAATTTTAGGTCAATTTCGTTGTATGTTTTTATGCCAATGCATGTCAATTTCGTTACAGTTCAAGTTTTTGATGGTTATGCCACTTTTCGTTCCCCTCGGGGGGGTCAGCAACTCGTGGCCCGAGGCACGTGCGCGGCCCATGGGGGAGACCAGGGGACGTATTGGAAGAGGATGACGGGGGCCATAACATCGGGGGGGGACCTTGTTGTCCCGGCCATTCTATTTCCCCCCCCCGTCACCACCCCCCTTGTTAGGGGGCAAATAAACCTACCTCGCTTTTGACCACGCTCGCTTCCAAGAGATACCAAGCGATGCCACACTACGGCCTGTACTGGTCAGGCCGCTTGACGAGGAGGCGCGTGGTATGACTTGGTTTTGCCTGCAAGCGAAAGCGGGGTAAGTAATTCACGCTCTGACTTGTGGCCGCCCCCGAAAAAATGTCCCCACGGGCGGATCCGCTACCCGACTTGGCAGGGTAGGATCGGTTAGTATGGGATCTAGTAACCGTGCCGGATCGGAGCGCGCGTCGGATCAAGCTGCGTCTGCGCCGAGTCGAAATCTTTGGGCGCAGGTGGTTTAGGAAGTGTGTGTTTCATACCTTCCTCTTTGCCTTGGGAGAAGTGTTCACCTCTTCATCCACCCTCTCCCTGGGTCTCGAGGGGGCGTTCCGCGAGCGGTCGGAGCGTCCAAGATGTCCCAAGCTGACCACAAGAGGGCCCCAAATAGCCCAAGACGGCCTCCAATATCGCACAAATTAGCCCAAGGTGGCTCAAGGTCGTCTCCAACATGCATCCAACAGGCGCCATGACCGTCCCAAGACGGCTCCAGGTGGCCACGGCTCCTGCCAATGACCCCCCCAAGGGGTCCAAATCATTCCAAAACCTCGGGATAATCAAGGTATTTGGCCTTCTCGCCTTTTCGCTTCCGATGGGCTCGACCCAGTGAGGAGACGCTTCGGAACCCGATGGGGGGGACCTTGTCGGGTGTGCAGACGGGGCGCGCCGCACGCTGACCGGCACATCCCGCCAGTCTTTTTCCAGTCGGGGCCCCTCTCGACCGCGCCAGGGGGTACGGATTTCTGCACTCCTGTCATTCAAGCGGCGCCTCCCGCCAGTGTGAGGCTGGCCCAGCGGAAACTTGCATCCTGCGGGCCAGACGAATCCATCGCCCGAACTGGTGCGCTCTCTCTCTCTCTCGCGCTCTTTCTTCATGGGTTCGTTTGTCTTCTATTTCTCTGTCTACAGAAGCGGCGACTCTTGTTTTTGTGGAACTATCCGGCGTGCCCCCTCCATCTCTCTCCCTCCTCTTCGTCTCCCGTCCCCCATCAATCCCTTCCACATCCACCAAGGGCTCCCAGCTTCGCGCTTCGCGCTGCGCGGAGTGCGAATAACTTCGCGCTCTCGCGCCGCCTCCCAGGGGAGAAGAGGAGGAGGAGGAGGAATCGGAGCGGAACCGCGAAGCACGAATAGCTTCGCGCCCTCGAGGGCGCCCTTGCTCCACGGACCTCATGGTCCCTGCCTTCCTCCCGGTTATTATTATTATTATTATTATTATTATTATTATTACTATGATGATGATGATGATGATGATGATGATGATGATGATGATGATGATGATGATGATGATGATGATGATGATGATGGCGGCTCCTCCGTGTCGAGCGCGTCCAGCGCGTCGGTCAGCGCGCCTGCCCCGTCCCCATCACGGCGTGGGCATACACACTCTGCACTGCAGGGGGCGGGAGCGGAGCGACGGGGGCGGCCTTTCCCCAAACGTGTCCCGAGAGCCACGGTGGATTGGCCTTGAGGACCGGCGCGAAGCGCAAGTGTTCAGTCGGGCGTGTCCCCCTACAGGGGGATTTTCGACGAAAAAAAATCTCAAAATGGTCAAACTATATTTAAGAAAAATACTCCCCATACTATTCTTCCTATGTTTGAATCGTCCCCCTGTAGAGGGACATGCCCGACTTAACGCAAGTGGCTTCCCCAATCTCTCTCTCTCTCACGCATGTTCGGGGGAAGGGGGGATCACGGGAATATGCAACTCTCCCTGGATCCTCCACCTCTGCGTCCCTCCTCTCCTCTTTCTGACACGGTCCTCCCGCGCGCGAGGAGGGCGAGGGGGAGAATCGAAGTGCAGGATGATGCTGATGATGACGATGACGATGACGATGACGATGATGATGACGATGATGATGACGATGATGATGATGCTGATGCTGATGCTGGTGCTGATGATGATGGTGATGATGATGCTGATCATGATCATGATGATGAGGAGGAGGAGGAGGAGGATGATGACGAGGAGGAGGAGGAAAAGGATGAGGAAGAGAATGATGAGGAGAACATGGGAGGCGGACGAGGAGAAAGGGGGCCTGACATGCACGAGGAAGAGGAGGAGGGATAGAGACACGAGACGACGGAGAAGGACCAGGATAAGGAGGAGGAGGAGGAGGAGGAGGAGGAGGAGGAGGAGGAGAAGGAGGAGGAGGACCGCCTCTCCGCCATCCTCGCCGATGCCCCCCACCCCGCCCTGGCCGTGTCGCTCGCTACTCCCCGCCCCCGGGAGAGGCCGCCGCGGTGCTGGCGTGGGCGGCCGCGTGATGGCGTGAGCTGTTCGTGCTCCGCCTCCTGCGGCTGCTGCCGTTCCTCCTCCTCCTCCTCCACTTCTCCACGTCCTCCTCCTCCTCCTCCTCCTCCACTTCTCCACGTCCCTCATCCCCCTCTTCCCAATCTCCCTCCTCTGTAAGTTCGCCCTCCTCCTCCTCCTCATCCTTTTCGTGTCTCCTCCTCCCTTCCTCTCTACCTCCTCCTCCTCCTCCTCCTTATCCTCATCATCATCATCATCATCATCATCATCATCATCATCATCATCAGCAGCAGCAGCAGCAGCAGCAGCAGCAGCATCATCGCCACCATCATCATCAGCAGCATCATCATAACCATAATCATCATCAACCTAATCATCATCAGGATCGTGATCATGATGATGATGATGATCATCATCATCATCATAATCATCATCATAAGTATCATCATCAACATCATCATCTGCATCGTTCTCATCATCATCATCATCATCATCATCGTCAACATCAACACCATCATCCCCACCGTCATCACCATTAGCATCAGCATCAGCATCAGCATCAGCATCAAAGTCATCATCACCATCTTCTTCATCATCAGCAGCAGCATCATCACATCATCCCCGAGCCCGTTCCCCCTCCATGCCCCACTCCGTGAGCATCCTCCACCTTCCTCCTCCCCCTTCTTCTCCCGCCTCGTTCCTAATCATTTCTCCTGCACTGCTCCGCCTCCCCGATATCCTTCCTCCAACTTCTCCTCATCCAAATCCTCCCCCAATCCCCTCCATCATCCCTCGTCATTCCCAGTCTTCCCCCTTCCGCTCATCCGTCCTTCCTCCCCCCTCCCTCCGCCTACTCATCCTTCTTCCCCTCCTGCCTGCCATTCTTCCCCATGCCCTCCTCCTCCTCCTCCTCTTCTGCTTGAGCAGGCCCCGTCCGACCAGCGTACGTGGCGCGCAACGCGTTCATGATCAGGTCCTTCCGGCGCGAAGACATGGAAGGGGGAGAGGGCGGGGGGCGAGCAGGGGATGAGGACGGAGGCAGGAGTACAGTCGGGGCGTTGACCCAAGGAACCCTAAATAAGGAACGAGGCCCCTTCTATCCACAAACTGAACTTCGATTTCCCATTGAACACCAGAGGAACAAAAACCAAGGCTAATTGTGAAGCAATCAAGGAACACGGAGCCCTTCCCCAACGAAAAAGGGTTCCTTCTTCAGCGCCCCGACTGTAGAGGGACCGACAGCCTCATGAGCACAAGCTGTCGAAGCTCCGCGCGGACCTCTTGGGACGGCGCTGGGCCACCCCTTCCCTGGTGCGCGGCTCCTGCCGGGGGGGCGTCCCGCGCCGATCCGAGGCACCCGCGCACGGATCTCAGAACGTCTGTGCTTCTGCAGTTTTCCTGCTCGTTGGGGGAAGGTCGGGCGTTGGCAGAACTGGGTTTAGTGGGACATGGCTCGCTGACATGTACTGGGGGACGCCCCCCCCTTTTGTTCCACTAACCGGAACTGCCGTCACCCGAGAAAAACACCAGCTACGGCAGACCTGGTTTAGTGACTCTGGC